CACCAATGATCCCCTCTTTACCCACGACTACCTCTCCCACCCCCTTTTCCCTCTGGTAATCACCACACTGTGGTCTGTGTCTATGAGGTTTTCCCCCCTTAATCTCTTCACCTTTTTCACCCAACCCTCCAACCCTCCTCCCTTCTGACAGCTGTTCTCTGTATCCGAGTGTGTTTTTATTTTGTTTGTTAGTTTATTTTGTTCATTAGGTTCCACATATGACTGAGATCATATTGTATTTGTCTTTCTCTGACTGGCTTATTTCACTCAGCATAATACTCTCCAGATCTATCTGTGCTGTCGCAAAGGGTGAGATTTCCTCAGCCATGAAACCAGCCTGTATTCTTTATAATGTATACAACACGACCACCACCACAGTGGCAGCAATTGGGTTTGAAATCTATAACTTTATACAGTATGTCTAGTGCTTAGGTATTATGGGTTGAATTATATCCAACTAAAATCCATATGTTGAGGTCCTAACCCCCGAGTATCTCAGACTGTTATCTTACTTGGAAACAGAGTCACTGCATATATAAGTAGCTAGAATGAGGTCACACTGGGGGAGACTGGGCCCCTAACCCAGTATGACTGTTATCTTTACAAAAAGAATGGTCAGGTATATAGGGTACCCCATCATCTATATGGGCAGCACAGTACATTTAAAATGTGGTGGTCACCAGGCTTCCTGTAGACTGTGAAAGGGAGAGCTGAGGAGAGCCATCGCGGTGAAGACCACAGGATAATTAGTAAGACACTCTTGGTTTTAAATCCCAGCTCCACTGTTAATTCACCAGGTGGTCCAAGGAATGTACAGCACCCTTACTTTCTGCATCTGTAGAATGGGCTTCATCATCGTGATCATCCCGGACATTACTGCGCTTTAGTTGTTTTGAAGATTAAATGACATAAAGCATATCGAACACTTGATGAACCCTCACTAAATGCTGGTTGGCTGTCCCCATTGATCAACTGGTCAAGGGCGAGTTTTCTTATGTGCTCTGTACATCACAGGACAGTTTTCACAGACTCCACTACAGCTTCCTATTAATATGGTTATAAACCATGGCAATGTGAATTGCAGTAGACCTCGTCTCATCAAAATGTGTCCGTGAAATTCCCGGGAGAAATGCAGACGTGCATCTCCAATAATCTTCCCACTTGGGAGCGCGGTGTAATTTTCCTAGCGGCAGAGGCTCTGCCTCATTCCTTTCCCTGGGCCCTGAAAGGGCGCTAGGGTAACCGAGTGGACCGTTCAGAGAGCCTATCCACAGGACATCGTGCCAGGAGGAAAATACAGAAGCTAATTAAGCTAGCTTATTCAAGCAAACTAAATCCATTCGCCATGACATCTTAACGTGCCATTAGTTCTTTCTCAAAGTCAACGTGGACTGAGTTAGGTCCTTGGCTAGATTGCGGGCCTGAGTGACACACAGAGTGGAGGCATCTTCCCTGCCACTAGGCGCCCGAGCACCTGGAAAACTGCACAACATAACCAGGCTTTTGTCTACAGCTATTGTCCTGACAATTAGACACTGTTATTCTCAAGGACAGACCTATCAACTCCTTACTTGGTGCCTTTAAACCATTAACTATTAACACGGCCCAGTGCTGAGCATTACTAGGGGCTGGAGCATTGGTTCAAAATTTGAAGTCTCCCTCCAGAGCTCACACTATCTTGTTTTGTAAGCATTGTGTATACAATCAAATTGCTTTCATTTAGTCACACTAAGCAAGTGGGCACTACAGTAATGGGGCTTCTCCCTACACCAAAACCAGGTGTCTGGCTCCAGGCTGAGTACTGGGGTTAGCAGACCTGAATTCGTGGATTTAAGTAACACCATGTCTCTCAGCTCCAGCCCATTTATCTTCCGAATGAGGCACTTCACTTCAACTGTACACTCTTAAACATCTATTATGTGCTTGGCAGTGAACCCTGCACTGTGAGTGTCACAGAGATGGGCCCTGGAAGGCGGCATAAACTCCAACCTCCTTCTAAAGTTGGATATTCACGTGATATAACTTAAACGTTACCGGTTTAAAGGATAGGGCAGCAGGATTTTAAAGAAAGGTCAGATTTTTATTCACGGGTTTGTAATAAAGAACTCGAGAGAGACGAGGTTATTTATAGTGTCTCGCTATCCATTCCTACCTATTTCAGTAGAAGATCCCTCTTCTCTGCATGACCGACTCTCTACCTATTTAACCAACAAGACTCAGCTCCTCAAGAAGCCTTGGCTGACCATGACCTTCAGCCGCTCTGAAGGAGGCATTTTGTGCGTGTTCCCAGGAGACCCTGTGCAAACCCCCTATCTCCTAGGATGCAGAGTCCTCACTATAATAAGAAATTTATCGGCTTAGCATGCCCACGCGCTTTTTTGCCCCTAGGAGGCAGTAACTGCGTGTGTTTATCTTGAACCTTCAGTAAATGGCAACTGCTCAGTGAGTTGCAGTTTTTCAAAGTTTATTCTTGTTTTCCTACGTCGGTGTGTGAGTCCCACTGTGGATTCTAAGGCTTCTACTCCTGCATCTGGTTTGGAGACTGGGGGGTAATTCTCATTCCTCTTTCCCATGCGAGCTCCTCAAACATTGAGAACAGATTCCATCTCCAGCATGTATAGGAATCATCTCTGAATACTGTCAAAATGCAGAGTCTGATTTGAAAAGCACGGGGTGGGGCTCTGAAGTCCTGCATTTCTAACAAGCTCCCAGGGGGTGCTGGTGCTGGTCCGCAGACATGCTGAGCGTCTGGCATTCCGAGGGGCCTCTCACTCTGTCTGCAGGCATATTGCCCCCCCCCCCC